GGGGGGGGGGGGGGGGGGGGGCACGTAACTGGTCGCAGAACCCCTAGGGTGGGGGTCGCAAAGAGGCGTGTGTCACCATTCCATACTCATATGTTACTCTTCGCGGGGGTGAGCAAAAGGGCTCTAGCCATCGTCCGATACCCAATGCCCTACACCTCCAACAACCCAAAAAAAAAGGGGGGAGTCACCTCGTAATCAGGGGAGATATGGGCGAACATAGCTCCGTAGTGACGCAGCGGCCGGAAGGAAAGGATGAGCATCAGTGGCAACGGAGTCCCCATGGGCCCGCCTGTTTCAGGAAGGCAGCGACGTCACCACCAACCGACGATGACGTCATCGTCACCCAAGGGCGACAGCGATCAGCGAACAGGGCAGATGCAGGTCAGCAACATAGGGGGGGGGCGGGTGCGTTGTGTGCAAGGCACGTTCCTGCACAAAGAAGCGATGGTTGTTAAGAGCTCAACACTGCTCTAGTCTATAATCTGTAATTGGAGTCCATTGGAGCAGAAAAAGGTTGCTGCATACTTGGTCTAATAGAGCAGAGAATAGTGCTACCATACTCAAGTCCAAAGGAGCAGAGAACAGGGTGCAAATAACAACGCAAGTCTAAAAGAGCAGAGAAGACGGTGGTTCTGTAACTTGAGGCTGTTGGGGCAGAGGAAGGCTGGCATTACACTTTCTCTATTGGGGCAGGGAGGATAGTACCGCTTCATCAATTCCTAGATTTGATTGCTCACAGGTTGCGATCTGCAGGGCAAGCGTCCAGCTGTCCTTGTCCAGAAATTGCGCATCGTCGATTACAACCTGCACAGAAAGCAAAGTCGACATCGACATCGATATCCTCATCAATTGACATTGACAGCATCAAACATTATCAACATCGCCAACAGACACCATACCAGCAGCAACGTCACCAACAAGAACAACAGCGGTCATCATCATCAATATCATTCACATTGACAGCGGCAACAACACCAACGGCGAAAGCACTACCGCAGCGGCAACCTCAGCAGTCATCATCGAACAGCCCGAACCCGAACCGTCAGCAGGATAAAAACTAGGACGAGAGCCCTCTCCCCCCCGTCTTTCCTCCTGAGCACGTGACGACCTACTCGAGTTTTCCCAATCCCACCGTGCGCAGTTTTGACACGCACCAGCACTTCATGAAAGCGCAAAAACAATGGTGACCGACAAGAAGACACGGCCGAAACAAGGCTCTCTCTGCGGGTACACAAAGGGACGAGGCCAACTCACGATGCGGTGCTTGCTGGCGGCCATGCTCTTGACCAGCTGCAGCAGGATCGATAGCTTGACCCTCTGCTCGTGCCCCACGCTGGAGCCGTCGTCGAAATCCGAGCTGTCCGACTCGCTACCGTTCATCCCGTCAGCGTTCATGGATGAGGAGGCACTGCAACACAACAGAAGGCCCGAGGGGGGGGTGTACTCATAGTCGCGCATGCCGTAGTCGTTAGGCCATCGACCTCGCATCCCTACAAAGCCGGGACGGAGCACGCCGGGTTCTCACCGGACCAGGCTCTCACATCACCAAGCGCGAAGCGCCGTGAGATATTCGGCGAGTCGCATGAAGGGTGCGCTGCATCCTGCTAAGGGTGTTCGGCATCTTGTGCTTACTTCCTTGCGTACGGATGACAGCTGCGTATGAATTAATTTATTTTCTGGTGCTTTCACTTCCAGAGACAGTTGTAAGCACTGTGTAACTGCCTCGAGGGTGCTTGACCATTTTAACACAACGTGGTGCGATCATCCCCCTTGCGCGGAGTGAGGGTTCTCCACCCCGCACAACATGATCTACTCGACCACCATTATGGTTACCCGCAAAAAAAAAACCGAAGGTAAAAAAAAAAAACGGTAACCTGGTTGCCGAGTTCACGAAGTGAATTGGCTTGTTTTACAACGTCGTTGCCAAGCGACGAAAACCCAATCCCGATGGCAAACACCGGGGGGGGCGGCTTGTGTTACAACGTTGTTGCCAAGCGACGAAAACCGAACCCCGATGGCAAACACCGGGGAGGGGCGGCTTGTGTTACAACGTCCTTCCCAAGCGACGAAAACCCAACCCAGATGGTAAACACCGGCGGAGGGGGAAAACACCGAGGGGGGAGCTTTTTTTTTTTTCTTAATATTACACAACAAATCCATCTTTACTTACAGACATATACTGGTCGCCCCGGTGGTCTAGTGGTATCCACGTAATCCGCTAGTCGCAGAGGTCTTGAGTTCGAAGCCCCATGGGGTAAAAATTTTACGAAATTTGCGGGTGAAAGCGAAATATGGCTACGAAGCTATCGTGAGTACCAAACTTCGACATTAGCACCGTTGACAAGGGAAAGGGACGGCTGGACCCTTTTCGCGATAAAAATGAAATTCAGCACGCACCGGAGGAGGAAGGAGGGGCATGAAAAGAAATAAAAAGAAGAGAAAAAGCCCTGGTGTTTACCCCCTCCTATGTGACCCTGGATGGTTGTAGTTGTATGAAAAAATACACTGAAAAGTGTAGTACTCTACATACGCTGAAGAGTGTAGTACACCTCTCACCACGAAAAATGGGGGGACTGTCGCCATAATAAATAAATAGGACGAAAACACACAACACACATAAAGACAAGTCTAAGATAGATTAGCAATGAATCCATAGCGTGAGCGAGAGGCTACCTGTATGTCTACGGTTTCCCAGACAGCATACAACGATATCATACAACGATGTCTACCCACCCCTGTGGGTAACAGACTCAACAAGCCAGTTTGGACTGTCGCCATAATAAATAAATAGGACGAAAACACACAACACACATAAAGACAAGTCTAAGATAGATTAGCAATGAATCCATAGCGTGAGTGAGAGGCTACCTGTATGTCTACGGTTTCCCAGACAGCATACAACGATGTCTCCCCTGTGGGTAACAGGCTCAACAAGGCAATTTGGTAGCCATCTTGTGTATCTATGTGCATGTCATGTTGGGAAGTTGTAGACGGAAGATTTAGGGGAACTCGGTTTGTCGGGTGTTCTAATATAGCACCCTTATGTGGTTGCGGAGCAAGCGCGTCTCGGGGTGTGTTTATTTTCGTCAACTTCTTTTTTTGTGTGTGATGTACATGGGCATGTGCGGCGCGGGAGAACATATTTACCTTGTTGTGAAATGGCATGTCGGGGCACGGGAGAACATTATCTCATCATTGCCTCCTGACGTGGCCGCCGATAGAGGCGTGTGGTTGGGGTTTCATCACTGACATGCGGGTGAGTGTGAAATGCAGTGGGTATGGTCGCCTCTCTCGCCCGTGTGTCGGCAGAAGGTATAGCTACCTTTCCCATTTACTTGTAGGCAGCGCGGACCGTAAGTAAAGACAGAGTGTATCATTTCATGCATCTACATCATTTGTATGTTGTTGTTGTTGTCTTCACATTAAATACCGTTCCGATCTCTCTCTACCCAGTACCTTCGTATGTCCGTACTGATCCAACATTCGACGCGGTCGATTCCCGTGGCTTGTTTTGAAACGTCGTTGCCAAGCGACGAAAACCCAACCCCGATGGCAAACACAACACAAGAAGCGAGTCGTTGGTTGTCACTTGCATTTTCGCATTTTTAGCTGAATGCGAATGAGAAGGTGCTGCAAAGTCACGGGGTGGGCGTGCTGATGTTATTGCTGTTTGTCTCCACATTAACGTTTGCCTACGTGAGCGGCGGGTATTGTACCGTTTCGTCTGATGCCACGGTCACCGCACCAACGCGCGTACGGAGAGTTTCAACCTGAGCAGTTAGTCTCGGAAAAAAAATCAAGGGCATTCCTCTATTCTTCTCTTCTTGCTTACGGTTTCCGACTGTTCTGTAAAACTCTGTGGGTGAGCTTGCCTCGAGTACGTGCCCCAGGTCTGCCTGTTGTTGGGGATGTTCGTGCCCAGGACGTCGTTAACGAGGAAGGCGTACGCCTGCATCTCAGGGAAACCCTCCAGCTCTCTCAGGAGCATCTTGGCACGCGGGGAGAAGTAGAGCACGCAAGATCAAACACCGAACAAGTAGCAGCAGCAGCAGCAGCAGCAGCAGCAGCAGATGCAGCAGATGCAGCAACAGCAGCAGATGCAGAAGGTTAGAGGTGTGGTGGGGTGTGGTCACTTCGAGACAACTACGCAAAAACGTACAACAGACGCCGCAGCAGCAGAAGCAGACACAACGCGCGTAGTCGAGCGGTGTTCACGCCACCGACAAATAACAAACGGCGGACAATGGAGCTGCCCTCCCTCCGTTCTTTCGCGGATCCGGCAGTGACCGCACGGTATCCAAAACACACAGAACCCCCCCCCCCCCCCCCCCCCCCCCCCCCCCCCCCCCCCCCCCCCCCNCCTCCCCGGTGTTTGCCATCGGGGTTGGGTTTTCGTCGCTTCGCAACGACGTTGTAAAACAAGACAATTCACTTCGTGAACTCGGCAACCAGGTTACCGTTCTTTTTTTTTTCCTCCGGATTTTTTTTTGGCGGTAACCATAATCGTGGTCGAGTAGATCATGTTGTGCGGGGTGGAGAAGCCTCACTCCGCGCAAGGGGGATGATCGCACCACGTTGTGTTAAAATGGTCAGGCACCCTCGAGGCGGTTACACCGTGCTTACAACTGTCTCAGGAAGTGAAAGCACCAGAAAGTAAATTAAGTCATACGCAGCTGTCATCCGTACGCAAGGAAGTAAGCACAAGATGCCGAACACCCTTAGCAGGATGCAGCGCACCCTTCATGCGACTCGCC